GATATCACCGACAGTCGTTAGTTACTCGGGATAATTTTGAATTTAATAAAGACTCTACTCATGTTACAGCCAACTAACTTTCTAGATTTCTAATAAAATCCTCGTTAAAGTCTGATCCTGTTTTTGAAATTAGGGGTAGTTTTTTCGTCAACGTGACGAGGGATTTTTCTGCAATAATCAAAAAGAGGTTGTTACGGTCATGGGAATGTCGGTAATCATAGAAGGAGCCAGGAAGGCACGACCAGTTTATGACCTGCTCAGATCATTAATTTCATCAACAGGTAGACAATAGAGCCGAAGATAACGTAGAGAACTTTCCTTTCCTAATTGTTGAATTATAAAATAGATCATCAAATTTTTGCGATTATCCTGATTAAAAAATAATGTTTCATAGAGAATTTTTATATTTCCAGATCTTGATTTTATAATCCATCGGTACAAATCCAATTTCTAAATATTTTTCAAACTGTGAGGTTTTAATTTGTCTAAAAGGTTAATTAATATCGGTTTGAGTTTAGTCTTTGTGGATTTAGATGTTTCTTCTCTCTTCGTTACCAAGAGAAATGTTTCTTCCAACTCTAGACTTAGAAAAGATTTTTTTTTATTTAGTGAACGATCCTTTTTTTATTTTTAGTGTGTAGTGGAAAAAAACGTTTTACATAAAATCCAATACAATTTAGGTACTACATTTTTTCATTTGTCAGTTAAAATCCTACACATTTTATTGTAACTTTTCAAACATTAAGGTTCCAATTTTTTTAAAGCTAAACTATTGAGACGAATGTGATATTATTTTTCCAAGATCTAAGAAGACTTGTTGTTTCCATTTGTTAATACTAGATCTTAACGTAGAAAATTTTTTTTCTGTAAATTATTTTTAGCACATTTTGACTCACAGTTGCCATACGTTTTGTTATCAATAATGTATTGTAGAAACCTTTTACGTTTTTCAAAACTGCGTTTTAAAATTTGCAATTCAATGTTAATAAATTTGCAAAAATTTAAATGTTAATGCTTGTAAAATTCCATACTGAAATCAGATACAGGGATCTGATTGACTTTATTGTTTATATATGAATCCTTGATAGTCTGGCTGTTTTTAATGAACTGAAAACTATAATTTAGTTTCTAATCATTTGCACAAATAGTTTTTCGTATATATATCGAATATGTATTGTTTAAAAAAAATTACAAAAATTTATTATACGATTTATTATATTAAAGAAAAAATGAAAAATAGTTTCTTTATAGAAAAAATTAATATCTAAATAGTCATATAACTCATTCTAAGATTTATAATTTCTGTTTTGCATAAGAAGGATGTTTCAACTTTTTTCAGTGTTGTTCTTAATCTGAACGAAGTGCGATAAAAATACAGTTTGTTGCTCGGAAAGTGCAAACTTTTGCCATATTAGCTTATGTCCTTATATGGCTAGTATTTGCATTTTTCCCAATAGGTAAATATGTTTAAGATTACGATTTCTAATCTTAATTTCTAAGTTAAACATTTCGGTGTTTATGAGAAATCTCAACAACTTAAAAAACCTCTGACAGAGATACCGTCAAGGAAATTAAAAACATTTACTTTCGCCTTTTATTAAAATCAATTAATTAAGATAATACAAAATAAAAACAAGTCAGAAATTACGTCCTTATTAATAAGATTTCGATAGCGTAATTTTACATTTAATCGACCCCAATTGATAACTTCTGTAATCAAACGTGTTGCTTCAACAGTGTTTGCAAACAATTGAACTTCCTCTCTCATCTCGTTGAAAACAAATCGAAGGAATTATCCTGACTTGCAAATATATTGGTTTTTAAATTCATTCCTGTTCGAATATCCGACTCACGATCAATGTAAATACGTTAAGAAACATAAACTTTTGCATAAAAATACAAAGGTTTACTATGATACGTTGAAGAAAAGTATTTTCTTAGAAATAATTGCACTAATTTAAATTTGAACCTCGTCCACAGAGATGTACTTTAGCTCTGGAACGTAATGAAAGAGTGAAAGGTAGTCCACCTGTTGTCCCAAACAAAACTAGGTCGATTAAATTAACGAATTTCTGACAAACGCTCTAATTTATCGCGGCTGTATTTAACTACAAACATTTAAATACATATTAACGAAAGTAAGTAGGAAGGAATATTAAAAAAAAAAAAAAAACATTAGCATCTTAAAGACTAAAGTGATTTTTCATTAAACATAATTTGTTTTAACATTTATTAGGTTTCGTGGTCAGCTTGACCAAATAAATTCTTTTCAATTAATTAAGGTTTTGGTTGAGATAAAAAAGTGAGTGTCACTAGCAGGATTCGAACCCACGACCTTCGGCTTGATACGCCGCTGCTGTACCACTTGAGCTATCGTGACCTCGATCCACTCAGACACCAACTTCCCATCGCAACCACAAAACTTTCTTTTAAATATCATCAAATCTTTCTTAACATACAAATTGAATTATTATAAACATTAATGTATACTTTATAACCATAATAACTCTATAGGATTGAATAATGGATAAAAGATTAATATATGTTTTTTCTTTACATGTATGGCCGAACAATTAGGTGATTTTGATTAATCTAATCAATCTATTAAGTTGAACAACTCGATGAAAACATTTCATAAGACTTTAATTTCCACGCTATTTTTATTTGATAGTATCTAGAAGACTTCGTTATGACAAATAAATATGTGGCTGTACAATAATCCTGTACAATTTAGGTTCATGGTTCAAATTCTTCCAAAACCCACAAGTTTAATTTTATTATACATATTATTTTACACCATCAACCAATATCTGCCCAGAATGTACATTGTGTCTATTGTGTTTCACAGATTAATCCAAATAGTTTTTTTTTTTGGACTGATTAAATTAACAAATTATGAGTATTCTTAAGTTGAATTTATCATGAAGCCATTACATGTAGAAATTATATAATAAACTTTCTAACAGAACGATCTAAGTATAACTGAAAAAATGAAGAAACGAGCCGTGCAGCATCACTAAGGCAAAGTTGTAAAATTGACCTCTTTTTTATTGCTTTGTTCTAATTTACAAACTATTCATAAACTAAATCAAATTGTTTGACTACCAATAAAAAATACCCAAATTTATAACCAGTTATTTAAAAATAGGATCCTTCTTAGACTTTTAAAAGTTTTTGAACTATATTAAAAGGGATGTTTTGTTGTTTCTATTTATGGTATTACCAATTTGCATAATGTATATTTCAACATGCGAAATTTCAGACCCGCCCGCCAGTCCATTCATGTCGAACAACTGACCTTTCGATTGTAATTTACCGTTAACGCACATTTCCCATGAGAGCAAAGGCGTTGGAAGCTAAAGCTTAATTTATCCGCCCAGGGAAAAAAAGGGAATTTTTCTCTAGGAGCAGAAGCATTTTATGTCAAGGTCTAAGTTAAAAAAAAATGTGTGTGTGTGTATGTGTGTGTGTGTGTATGTGTGTGTGTGCCTATCTCTGCAAGTGTTTGAATTACACTTGCAATTAAAATTGCAAATTAAAACATCCATCATGTGAAAGTATTTTTTAAATAAACTGAATATTTTTCTTAAAAATATACAGTGATAAGATATCTCTAACACAACTTTTGCCAGCTGTTGCTATATTAGTTAGTTATAAAACGAAATTTATTCACTATTTTCTTTAAAAAAAAGAAACCTTAAAGAAAAATATTGAACAAATAGTGGAAATATACATAATCGTCAATTAAATTAGATTTAAATATAAAATAAATTCATAGAAGTAACCCTGCAGACAAGCTTAGAATGTAAGATCATGTGCAAGGAATAATATGACAATATGCATGTAACCTACAAAAAGAAAACTTTTGTCTATTTGGCATTAGCAGTAAAAGTTAATTTTAATCATTACTCATGGTTAGGAATGGTTAATGTGAAAAGTACTTTATACATTAGTAAATTGTTAATATTAAAGGAATAAATTCATGATTATAGTTCAATTTTGTAACTTCGTCTTTATTGTACATTTTTCAGGTTAAGGCAATTTTTAAATTTTTATTTTAATGGATGGAACGATCGTAAATGGGGCGATCTTGGTATTCCGACACCCTGTGTATTTATAGATACTCAGAGGAGCAAAAGTTAAAAAAAGGTCACCCACGTAGTAAAACTGCAGGTTTCATTACATTCTTACAGAAAAACATAAAAAATGCAATAAAAAGAACAATTTAAAATTATTGTCGAGTCATCTGGACAATGGGAAACCATCCCATTTATCGATCATAATATCGAATGATTGAAGGTTAAAATTAATTAGTTAGTACATATTTAACCATCATTTACAAAATTGTACAGGTTTTCATTAATTAATTATTTATTATTATAGATACTTTTTTTTTATAAATGTGATCATTTATTAGATTGTTTTTAATATGTAATTTCTTAGATATTTGTTGTTAGTGATTTTGAAGGTAAAATATTATTTGCAAGTATTATATGAAAAAAGAAAAATCACCAAATGTTAAAAGAAAAAAGTATCTCGATGGTTCAATAAGGATTTATTTATTTATGATATATATTATTTACTAGAAACGAGCTGGTGTTAAATTTCGTTCTACGACATCAAGAATTGGCAAAAATAGCTATGAAAATCTTTTGGCTAGAAAGCAATTAGGTCACCAAGGCTAAATTCTTGAGGCTCATTTTGCATGTACGCATTTCTGGAGGTGTTCTCTTTTGATCATAAATGTTTATGCAGACCATGGGCAATCTCATAAATACAGTTTTTATGCGAAAGTTTTAGTGTAGGCAGATTTATCCTCGTAATCGTACCATAATCAAGTAGAAATTTTGTAGGGGTTGTTTTCTTAAACGTTATTTATTGATAAGTAAAGAATTTCTTCCTATAGAAATAATTTCATTAATTTGTTGCTTTTTTGGGTAAGATTAAGAGGATCATCCTTATCCTTTGGTAACGTTAGGATTGTTATGTTGATGGGTCACCTTTTTCTGCTGTTTTTCCCAAGCAGGGTCGAGGAGGCCCTCGCGCTCCCATTCTTCCTCCGGCTCCATGTAGCCGTCGCCGTACTGGTCCAAGCCGTTCATCCTGTTCTCCGCTTTCGGGTCGGAATGGATATTCGAACTTGAAAATGGTAAATTGAAGCTGAGCGTATGAGCCGGCACGACACTCAACATACACGAGAAGGATCCCTGTCCAGGGTCCGACAACCACTGGACGCCCACGGCATAACAGCCGTCTCCCCCTCCGAAAAAGAACCGCGCGCATGCTCCCATCCACTCCATCCTTCCCAACGATATTCCAGCAAATTGAGCAATTAAAAAAATTCGTTCGCTAATTGTTTTGAACGATTTATCGAATTTCACAAAATACCAATCAAATGTTACTTCATTACATTTTATAAGAGCAATAAAAAATGAAAAAAATTTAAAAGCTCACTACAAAACAGTCTTTTGTTGAAATCTAATTCCTGCCAAGCTTTTTTCAAAATTGACCTAGTGCATCCACCTAATGGGATTAATTTTGTGTGAAATTATGTCACTAATCAATATTAGCGATTGTAATTTCTGAAGTTATTTCGGAAAATAGTATCATCCGATGCCACAGGGCAGTACACAAGACGACTGCATGGTCAGGACATTCAAAAATTTGCATACAATCAGTTTTGAGAAAAAGAGACAAACTTTTATACAGATACAAATGCAACCGTAATGATGTGACCACCAATTCCAAAACGATGATGGACCTGTTGATAGCCGTAAAAGAGGAAATAGAGGAACTGAGGAAGTTCGTAAGTAAAGATCAGCAATCTCTTGCTGATTAAATGGAGGTCTTTATTTCTGAATTACACGATAGAAGAAGAAGAGAAAATAACGTCATGATTTACAATTTGCTCCGAATCTCAAGAAAACAACTTTCAATGGAGCATGGATCAGGACAAACTTAAAATTAACGACTTACTACACAAACTAGTGGAAGTGTCATCTAAACAAACATTAATTATTTTCGCCTTCGTTAATATTCAGCAAATAAAAAAAGGTCCAAGATCGACCAAAGAAATTTTCAAGGAAGAATTTTCAGCATTTGCTGTTTTTGCACACAAGAGACATATCAATGTACAAAGTGGATATTCCATAGGTTTTGGTTTTGACCAAACTTCAGCTCAAAGGGCCAACCTTACATAACTACCTCTACCATCCTTGAACCGACCCTTACCATAAAATATTTTAGTATCTCTACAAAAATCACAACACTATAAAAAAACTTAAAACATAATCCAATATCAGTTTACTATCAGAAAGTACGTGGCTTGAGAACAAAACTGGATTACACTAACTCCATGATTCCTGATTCTGAAATAATTGTTCTGAGAGAAACGTGGTTGAATGATATCAATCATAGAACTTGGCCTTGACGTTTGTGTGATATACAGAAGGGACTGACCGGCTAGTATTATTTTGCGTGGTGGGGTTTTTGAGGTAGTTGTCAAGAAGATTCCTACTTGCCAATCAACAATTGTCTGTGATAAGCTAGGTGATCATTTATTGGTTATCCTACATTTTAAATGTTATAAAGACCATGCGACCCAAATTAAACGAAACGTTATTTTTTAGTAGAACGAAATTCATTTCTCTGCTTCTTGAGAGCATTGAAAGCAGCATTTTTGTTTAAATTAATCATGTTTCAAAGAAGAGCATTGATTTTGGTAGGCAAGACTTAAATTTGTTCCGTTTACAAACTGAAAATAGACTTTTCAAAATAGTATTCAAAACAGTGAACATCAAGTGGAGGTTCTGTATATATTTTCCTTTTTGTATAAACTCACACGTTACCCTAATACGGATAATTTATTAGGTTTTACAGAAAAACAATGGTTTTAGTGGGGGAGGCTAAAAATCCGTTTTGTTTACTAGCTGAAAATAGACTTTTCGGTGATGTGCACCACGCATTCCTGGTGAGTAATCCCCCATTACTTCAGACGATATTTGTTTGCAGTAAAAAAGAGGTACGTGTGTCTTTAAAGAAAACACAAAGTGAATTTCATGGCTAGACACGTTGTAAAAAAGAAAGTATAGGGATGTATTCTCTACAAATCTGTTTAATATGAACAAGTTATTAACTTATATAGAAATCAAGCGTTTTGATGCAGTGGACGAGAGTAAAAATCAAGTAAGGGTCCTCATACGTACGAAAATTTTTTTTTATAAACTGACCCGTTATCCTAATTATATAAGGATCGTCAAGGATTAATCACTAAGGAAAATTATGAATTTTAAAGTAGTGTACGAAAGTAAAAATAAGTGGGGGTCCTGTTAAAAAACGGAAAATCTATTTAGGGTCATATTTCTTGCTTCTTTTATTGCTCTATTCTTTTTAATCTTTAATGCTTAAAATATTGCTTTCGAATTTTACTACACTAAATGCGATAACAGCAATTAACAGAAACAACTCGTGCATACATTCTACAAAATAACGTCTACTGGTGAAAGCCATGCAATTCCGATCACCGAAAACTTTATTTATTTTTTGGTAGAAGAAAATGTATTTCTCGACTAGAAATGAAGAATGATGGAGTGAGTGCAGTGTTCAATCCTTAAAAAAAAAGTTCCTACTCACAGTAAATTGTTTTCCAACAATCCAGATTTCGAGCCCTTCTGAGATCAGACTTCTGCAATTCATGTCGAGAGACGTGGTTGTAGAAATTCTTCAACCTGATGATGAGCTAAGGGCTCGAATTCCGGATCGTTAGAAAACAACTTACTGTGAAAAGGAACTATCTTTTTTAAAAAAGGAACCTGTTTAGCTGCTTAACTTATACAAACTGACATTTTATCCGAATTAATTAAATAAGGAAAAATTTTTTTCGTAATGATAAGGTTGGCAGTAACTATTGTTAAATAGGTATAGTGTTTACTTATCTTCAAATCAGGTAAATATGAAGGTATATGGGAATCATAGGTTTTGGTTTAGTGGCCGAGAGTAAAACACGTTATGACCCTGCAAAACGGAAAATCCGTATAAACTATAAAAGTTAAACAATTTCAGGTCATTTTATTCTCTCTACAGTGAAAACGAATCAAAATAAAATTAACAAAAGATACACAATTTTTTCAAACATTTATTAGGTTTCGTGGTCCGCTTGACGAAATAAATTCTTTTTAATTAATGAAGGTTTTTGTTGAGATAAAAAGTCAGTGTGAAAAGCGGGATTTGAACCCACGACCGTCGGCTAAATACGCCGCTACTCTACCACTTGAGCTATCGTGACTTCGATCCACTCGGACACTAACTTCCTATCTCAACCCCACGGGAAGATGGTAATTTCATAAGGAATTTCACTTCATGGATGTTGCATCGCTGTTCTCAATTGTTGCAGTTCAACTGGCTGCGGATGGTGATCGAAAATCCTTCTCTGCAACGCACTGACATGTGCTCAATGGGATTGAGGTCTGGAGACAGACAATAGGGGAAGTGAAGAGACATATGGGAAAACTCCCAAATTTTCTAAACATTGATTAACAACTCTGCCTCTATGAGGTCTGGCATTGTCATCCAGAAATCAAAACTCCCTGCCAATGAGATCCCTGGTTTGTGGGATGTATTTCTCGATAATTTACAGAACATTACAGACTGCGGTGAGTTTGCTACAACAATATGGAGTACAGTTCGTCCTCCAGTGAAATTCGCAGGCCAAGCCCATTTCACCGCCTCGTCCAAACTGAACTGAAGGGACCACGAACTGGAGCATTTTACGCCTCCCTGTTTTCGGCCTCTTCGGCGCTCTTCGGCGCTCTTCGGCCTGCTATCACTATATAGTCAGAAACGCGACTAATTGGCAATCTTAACAGCATTCCGATTGGTGTTCTCCTTTAGGCGCTCGCTGCACCATATTCTTCTGAGTTACTAGAGGCGAGCTGTAGCTGCAGGTCGTCTCAAAGAAGAATACGATGTGAAACCAACTTCCCACTAACGATTACGAATCGTTTGTGTTTATGAAGGGCTTGCCAAACCATGTCTTACTTCATTTAGGATCTGGCGGGCACTAGTTGCACTAGCAACTTGCTTGGGCACTAGCTTGCAACAATGACAATACTTCTGTCCACCCATTGCGTCGTAATGCGCTGAGATTCACTACCAGGCCACCAATTGGTAATCTCACGGAATTGGGCTAAAGCCCGGGTCACCACGCTCTGAGAAACGCCAACTGCTTCTCAACAATCTCTACTTGACGATGACCTCAATGACTCATTCTCACAATAATAATGCGAATTAAAATGGAGAAAAGTCGAGAAAAAGTGTTTGTTTACAAAATGATCATCTTCATGTTGACTATTCTTATGTATATCCATTATTAACAATGGGGATTAACATTTGTTTGTTTTTGGTTTGTGTATTCTATTTTATTTTATCCAACGAACCAAAAGATTTCGGTTAATTTTATTACAATTAATTGAATAAGAATAAATTACAAATATCCCTATTCATTTTTGAGCAGTTAGTTTGGAAAAAGAAAGTAGATTTCTCTGCTTAACTTTGTTTTTGAAATGAATCTGTGTTCTAAATTGCTTAATAAATCTTTTTTATGTTAAAATCTTTAGTTTATTTTGTTTAAGAATTTGATTCTTATCAAAATGGAGTTGCGTATATAGAATATACAATGGTAAAGTAATTACAATTTACAATTCACTACTTATCTTTTTTTTAAGTAAAATATTATTTTGGTTTTATTTTATTTTTCAAGAGACGATCAAAATTTATACAATAATGATAATGTGAGAAATTTTTAAAAAATAACATGATATTTACACTGCATAAAGAAGATTAAATACTAGATATAAACAAACACAAAACCTTATATCTTTAATTCATTTACAGTGAGCGCATTTTCTATTTCGAGCAAACTTGTCTTTTTAAGTAATCCATGGAGATATCATAATAAAAACGTATGCGTTTTTTAATTGGTTTTCTGAGCTGTAAGCTACTAAGTTAGTACTGTAATTGAGATTCCAATTTGCGTGAGTAGTCCGGTGGGAAATAAATTTGCTGAATAGATTTCAGAAAAGGACAGGACAAAAAAAATGTCCATAGACATATTCTTTTATTTTGTTAAAACAAGTCTGACAAAGATCATCTGGAGAGAATTTGTTTTCTTGGCTCTAAAGCAATACTGATAGCTAGGTGTAGTGTTCTCTTTTTGAATGAAGGGTATAATCTTTTGTGCTCTAGTTTTTCA